CTCCAAGTGATGCAATCAGTTTTTCGACCGTTTCCACAGTCATCTTGCGATATGGCTCGCTTTCGTCCTTCAAGTTGTTGACGACGCGCTCGAGAATCTCGCCAACGCCCACTTTCTGGCCCAGATCAACCGTGGTATCGACTACCTGGCGGTAGTTTCGTCGATCGAGGGCCATACGTCGCATCCAGAAGCCCTTGAAGAAATCTGTCAAGACGTGCTCCTTCAGGTAGCTGGCAGTCACACCCGGAGTGCTTGCACACTGAGAGACCACCTTCAATACGACCTTCTTCATTTCCTCATCTGGTGAGGCGAATTCTCGAATAAGGATCTCCATGATTTGAGTGGTGTAATAGTTGGCATACTCTTCGTCCATAAGAGGAATGATATAACCGACAGCCTTGAGGAAGGCAGAGAGACCCTTGCCACGCTGCTTGCGGGCACCGGTCCAGAGAGGGCTCAGGATGTCATCGAAACTTTCGATACCATATGGGTTCGCAGCCTCAGCCAAAGAGGCCAGAGATAGAGCGGTGACGGTCCGAACTTTAGCTTGTTCATCACTAAGATTACCTGAAACGCATCCAACCAGCTCCTTGAGATGAGGGAGAATGGCGCAACCCATGAGAATAGGGATATGCTGGACAATCTTGACACCGGTATGTCGGGCCTGCCATGACTTCTTACTGCGGCAGACAGCGCGGAGGAAAGGAAGGAGGGCGGGAATACCAAGGGCAGAGGCCACAACGGCGAAAGCGCGTGCTGTCGTGTTTCGTACATATTCGTCGGCGTGGTCAATATCAGGACGCATAGTACTGATCATTGTAGCAAGACCAGCGGCCTTGGCAAGGTTCGAGATAATCTCTCGGCCTTCAACACGAGCATAGTAGTCTTGATCAATAAGCAATGGTTCGATGACGACCAAAATCTTGTGAACATAGGGACGGACCAGATCATCCAGTTTGTAGAGGATTCGATCGATGACCTTCACCAGCAAATGGCGCTCCTGGTCTTCCAGAGTCCTTTCCATGAGCAGGGGGAGAATCTGGTTGAAAAGAGCTCCGGGACCAAAGTCGCGTGCATTGTCTGTGATTTGACGCAGAGCAGTTTTACGCATGGGCGGGGTGCCGTTCTTGATCTTGAGCAGCAATCTCATAATCTTTCGCTCCTTCATTTCTTCCACAGTCATGCTAGTTTCATCTCCACCTTCCATCAGCTTGCCAAAGTAGGCCATGTCCTCCGCCTTGAAGAATTGAAGTTCACCCACACCGGGGATATCGGTTGGAAGATCTTTTCCTACAGACTGAACACTTTCTGGCTCTTGCATCATGAAACCCCCGACACCACCTGCGCTAGAAATGGGTGCTGGCGTGGCCGTGAGCCTGCGAGCCTGAGTTCGGATGGGTTCATATCCGGGAGGAGGATCAAGGATCTTGTAGCCGTCAGCCTCACCGGGAAGCATGATATCGAGCTCTTCATCGGACCAGCCAATAACTTGACCAGGAACATCAGCCCCAAACCCGGCTGCAGGTGTAGCGGCACCTGCCTGGGATGGGTGCATGGGAGTGGCGAGTCCTTGGTTGCCGACGGGAGTGGCAGCTGTGAGAGATGGCGCTAGATCCCATCTAGATCGGCCGGTTTTGGGTGCTTCTTCGGGAGCAGGTGCCTGATCAAAACGCGATTTTTTCTCCGGTTCGGCAGTAGCCTCGCCCCATCGGTTCTTTCGCTTTTTGTCGGTGGTCACCGCAATGGGCGCCTCGGCGTTTTCTTTATCGTGTTCCACCATCTTCAACGTAGCCTGGTGCTCTTTGACGTCTTCACCCCTCTCGCGCTTCTCTGCGATCAGCTTTTGGACGCGCTCTTCTTCCCTATCCATCTCGCGGAGAGCCATGATTTCACGGTAGGTTTGGCTTTCTCCTTCAGCGTTCGCGTTGGCAGCGAAGGGATCGGCGCGCGTCGGCGTCAAGGCGCCACGGTCGAATCGACGTTTTTGGTAGTCTGTCTCGCGGTCTGCGATTCGCGCTGACTTTTCACGGCCTAGCAGAATGTCCTCCTCCTCAACGCCGGTTCCTTGCGCCATCTCATCAATCTGGCTTCTGGTAGCAGTGTATTGGCCAACCAGTTTGTGTCCTCCATCCGCATCTTCCATCTCTTCATCGCCATCAACAGCGATCGAAGTATCGTAGCCCGAAAACTTCTCTGCTCCATCCCGTTCGTACAAAAAGGTGTCGAAGGATTCCGTCAGGGAGGCTTTGGTTGAGTTATCAGTGCGTTGAGAAGATTGGTCAAAGGTCTTAGAGCCCTTTTGACTAGCAGCCGCAGCATTGCGCTCAGCTTGGAGCCGTCGAACGGCCTCGATATCGGCTACAGTGGGGATCAGTATACGGTCAGGCGGGAGAGCTTGCGAAAACCTACCGTCAGACATGGTGACGAAATGTAAAAGTCGCGAGGATATGAGTGAGCCTGTATTACCGCAGAAGGGAACACCGCAGCTACATTCGGATTGAAAACCGCTGTAACGGTCACAATAGTGGTGATTGAGGATGCTGTGTTGCTAGCCGCCTCGTGATGAAAAGGTCGTGATTAGGCTGCACGTGATTAGACACCGGACAACCCAAGAAGCTCAGGTGTGTAATCACGTGAAAAATGACATAAGCAGACTATATGGGGCCTGGTCGGGGCCCGGCCAAATTTGGGCGGTCAACGACGTCGTGAAAGGAATATAGTGAACATCCCCAACAAAAGGGCATAATGAACTGAGTAATAGCCTAATGTCAAAATGGGAGATGATGGACCTTGCTCAAAAAAAAAAAAAAAAAATTGAGCTCCCAAAGCATGTTACATCGTCATAAAACCAACTCCTTGTGAGCTACCACTCCTAATAGTTGGTTAGGAACCATTAATATCTCTACCTAGTCGTGCCATTCTGGGCTCTTCATTCTCTAATGCCTTATATTTGATCAAATCACACATCGTGTTTTATGGCTCATACATGTATGTGTTGGTGCCTGATTGACATTTGAATCTGTGGCGCTGTGAGGGCGCTTATAGTCTATTTATGTCCCACAACCGGTGTATCAGGGATATTGAAGGCCTGCATAAACTTTAGTGTTCCTGCGCACCTGAGATTCGTGGTCTAATTTAGGAAAAGGGTTATTAGTATGACTGGGGACAAGGGCAAGAAACTCTCCGGTAGCCAATGAGAGATCTAGGCTGTAGTAGGTGCATCAAATAAGCGCCTGTAGTATTACAAGATTCGGCAGGATGTACTTGATCAATATGCCGTTTGAGGCTGACTATAATAAACTACTGTTATTGACGAAGTCTACACAGTATTACTCATACCCCAATCTGTTCCAGGGTTGTACAACGTGAAGGCGACCGTTTGCTGCCGGCTAGTAAACAACAACGGTGCTAGTGTAACTTATGAAGCCCTGTGGTTACATCCTTCTCATTTTAACTAAAAAAGTGAATTAAAATATTATTTCCCATCTCTCCAGCAACCTTTCGAGATAGGCGGGGTTATCAACAAAGATGCCAATTTTAGGGCACTGTTAGCCCAGTCAGCAGACTCGGATACTTTCTAAGTATATAGACAACTCATATGTGGATGGCGGTGTCGATTTATATGGAATGTATTATTGGTCCCTTCAGAGGTTCATTAAATCAACATACACTGCGCTTATCTGAATTCGGTTTACACCAAGAGCCTTGCTACCTGTGCGGCGTATCTCAAACTCCGAGCACGTCCTTTGTTACATATCAGAGTAGCCCAGGCAGACTTTTCATTATATGAGATATATCTCCCTTTTATTAATTTTATCCTTGCCCTTATACCCCAGTCCCTTTTCACGATCCCAGCACTAGATTTGCTCGAGAAAATTCCAGGAATAGTCTGCATCTTATAGATCCAAAATTACCCGGCCACCATGAAGTTCTTCTTAGCGCTGCCATTGCTCTTCGCAGTAGCAAACGTGGAAGGATATTCAGGTCTTCCTCACCCTCTGGCTCTGGCTTCCTCATTCTCCCAAATCTACCACCAACTCGACAACATCAACCTCGGGAATTGTTCTCTCGCAAAAGTATCCCTCTCACTGGATGCAACAAAGTCACCGCTGCCAGCACCATCAACGAACATGACTCTCAAATATATTGCATTGGGCCGGGGAACACAGAACTATACCTGTCCATTGAATGGTTCCTTGATTTCCAACTCCGCCACCATCAAGCCTAAGGCCATAGGCGCTGCCGCTACACTATTTGACGCCTCTTGCATTGCATCATCATCTCTAGCTCTCCTCCACGAAGTCCCCGCAATTATCAGCGCCACTCCTCTTGGATCTCTCACGTTCATGGCAGCCCTTGTGGCACAGGGCACGAGAAGCACCAACCTCATTATTGGCGAACATCACTTCAACGCTGGTGGAGACCCGATCTTTGACATGGGACTTACTGGATCCAATTCCTGGGTTACTACAAGTAAAATAGCATCTACTCCAGCGCCAAAGTCAAAATCACGATCCTCCAGTGATGTTCCATGGCTTAAGCTAGGATACAAGAAGGGGAACGGCATTCGGGTAAGCTTAGATTATCCATAACCACCGGATCTGGAGTATACATATCTGACCGAATTGTTCTATATAGGAAGTCTACCGAGTTGTGACATCCCAAGGTGACCCGCCAGTTACGTGTGCTGGTCAAACTGGAACGATCCAAGTTGATTATGCTGCAGAATATTGGTTCTACGGATGACAGAAGGGTGCTAATTCCTTGTTTTAAGCGAAACGGTGGATGTTTGGATTTTTTTTACAAGCGATATATACGACTGCAAGAGCAAGGCCTTTCTAATACATGTTTCTAGAACTGTGTGGAAAATGCAGTTCACGAATTTTGATGAGATATATCTAAGGAAGTAATAAATTCGAAGTCTGAAGTAGAGCTTGCACATTTTCATAAGGATGACACTCATAAAAAAAACCCCAAAGGCGACACTAATTCTATTTCATCTATTTGTTGTTTGTAAGTATATTCTGAATGACAAGCCCTAGCCTTCCCACCCCCTCAACTAGCCGCCCTTCATCCTCCCACATGAAACAAAGTCTGAGTCTGCGATGCAAGTCTCCCTCTGGAGCATTCCCTGGAATTGCAAATGTCTCACCACCACCCAGTACCAAATTTTGCATCTCCAGGGCCTGCTGGCACACCTGGGTCGCGGTCAATGCGGGCGGGAGCTGAACCCAGATGTAGTATCCCCCTGCGACTAGACTAGTATCGGGATCAGGAGTAAATGACACACCAAAACGACCGAGATGTGTTTTGATTGCCGATGCCAGAAGACAATGTCTTCGTCGTCCCTCTGGGACTAGGATATTGGCAATATATTCAGGCAAGAAGTTATCCTCAAGTAGCTCATTGATGAAAGTTGACGTAAGTTGCGAAGGAGCACCACCAGAGCGTGTAGAACCACTGTGAATGAAATTTCAGCTTACTTTTGGCATTATGAATTAGGAATGAGCACTCACGCTTGAGAGAGACCATAGATGAAGTCTTTCGTCCCTTCAGCCCATCCAACCCGACATCCAGGACCAATAAGCTTACTGAATGACCCATTGCTCACGACATTGCCGAATCGATCTTCTGGACCACCATCAACCACCCGATCTATATCCACGAGACGCGGCTGAAGATGCGAAACCGTGTTGGTGGGGTGTGTTGCGCCCCAACTGAAAAAATCATACACATCATCAGCGACGACAAGAGCATTGTACCTCCGCGCCACTCTGATAAGTGCCTCGCGCCGCGAGTAAGACATTGTCGTCCCCGATGGATTAGAGAAGCTTGGGACACAATAGATGACATGCTTATATATCTTTCTATACGGCCTGTGGGGCTTGTATGTCTTCTCCTGTTTTCATTAGCATGCGTTACCCCGAAAACAACTATCTTAGCACGGGAAAAAGCACATACCTGGCCCTCTTGACGGCCCGAATTTCTATTTTGCTCAAAGTCACCCAAAGCAAGTTCAAGTGCAGCAACATCCATCCCCTCCCCGTCCTCGGGTATCCCTCGCATCCGACCACTGAACCCAGCATCCTCAAATACCCGGAAGACGAGATGATAGGTTGGCTCCACAAACCATGTAATCTCTGTCTGCGCTGGGTCCGTGAATACCTGTAATACACATGCCAGATTCTGGCTGGCACCTCCAGTAATACATATTCGCTCTGCGCTGATGGGCTGCACAGGTGCATAGGATCGGGATAGCCACTCGGCTATATTTTTTCTTAGAGGAAAATGCCCTTCATCCGGGCCATAGGCAAATCCTTCGGTAAATATAGCTTTGTTGGATAGAGCGTTGTTGGCTGCTTGTTTGAGGCGCTCAACTGGAAGCATGGCTGTTGCAGGCCATCCCTGAAAAAGGTCAATTTTAGTCGTAGGTGCCATTTCTGGGTTTGAAGATAATTATACTGGAATGTCATTTTGAGAAAATTGGCTCGTTCTTATACTTGGGGATTGGATGGTTTGTACCATTCTGACTTTGGGAATATAAGCGATCTGGCCAATCACATTGAACATCCGCTATCGTTTTCCCCTGGACAAAATAGACAATTGTTAATACTGTGGATTCTATTACTTGATTTCTTCTCTCTTGTCTATTCTACTCACCAAATATTGCTCAGAGAGAAATGGTTCTCTTATTGACCGGATTGCTAAATGATAAAAACCCATGAACGCCCGCAAAAAAAAACCACCCATTCCATGATTGAGGCCAACAGTAGGCCAGCGCCAGGGTGAATGCAAACGCGAAGAATGACAATCTCCTCAGGCACCATGTAAATCCTGCTGCTCGAATCTCAAGGGGCGGAATTGCATCCATGCAGAAAACGCCAATGTATGCCCCCACCCCGCCAACACAGGCCATCTCCTATCCCGCACACACCACCGACTAGCTCCAACTTTGGAGGGGCTAGGGATTTATACATTGTCATCCTCGTAGACAAAGTTGATGTCACGGATGCGACGGCGGTTGGTGGCAATGAACTCCTTGTCACCGGCAGGTCGCTCATCGCGATTGTTGGCGGTAAGCATGCTCTGAAGGCTCATGCAGACGCTCTCAACTGTCTGTACGGGAGACCAACCGGCGGAACCCAGAAGGTCAAGGCAGATAATTCCATTGCTGTAGATGTGAGGGTGCATTGGGATCGTGCGGGGTGTGCCGGTGGAGGCAGGACATTGAATGAATTGGACCTCGGGGGGTTCTAAAAAGATTGTGTGTCAGAACCTAGAATGATCTGATCATTGCAAGACGAGATAAGGATAAGAGGGGTGGAATGGAGCTAGTGAGAGACGATAGAGACCGAGGCTGACGGCTGAGAAGATGGGGCTTACCAATAGGGTACTTGTTACTGAAGGTAAACTTCAGGCGATAAGTCTGGTCGAGATAAAGTGGATTCTGGTCAAGGATCTTGATGTCCATCTGCCATTCCTCCAGATTGTCACATTTGACGATTGTAATTCCCGGTGGGACATGCTCTTGCATCTATAATGTCAAAGGTCAGAGGAAATGAGCGATATGCATGTACGCCGTGGTATGCTCCAAAGCAAATAATGCCATCCGCAGGATAAACGCGATAAGGCCGAGAAGAGAACGGAGTGGTTGGTACCTTAATGAGCTCCTATAAGTTGTGAATGTCGAGTCAGCAAGATGCGCATTCCAGTAGGCTTCAGATCCAGGGTGTATTCACCTTGCTCAGACGCTTTGTAGCGAACATTGTTGCGATGAGTGCTGAAAGAAAAGATTTAGATGGTTGAGCTCCAGTGGGGAAGGAGGGGCGGTGTCTCGAGGTGGAGTAGAGCGGATGTATGACGTTGACGGATCCAATGCGAGGAACCTCTCAACAAGTGAGATGAAAATGAACTAAAGCAGCAAAGGATATAAGATGACCAAAAGACAAGAGATATTGTCAAAACGCTCCCAAATGAGGGTCTAAAGCTAAGTGGGGAGATTATCCATTAATACACGTGATATCAACACCTGACTATATATACTGGTCATGCTACATACTACTTGTATAATCCCAAGGTAGATAGATGGCTTCCTATTTTGTCATAAACATTTTAATTTGTATATAAGTACTTAGGTTGGGAGTGTGAAACATCGTAAGAGTTAATCAAATACCAGTCCTTAACTACTATGTAAAGTGTTAAAATTACATAGTTATTACACAGGCAGGCAACAACGCAATTATTGGGCAATATCTATCACCGAACAAGAATACTCATATTTCTGGTCTTTTTTGATAGTCATTCTAAAAATTTTATGCTATTGAAGATTAGAAGAATTAGTCGCAAGGTGAAATAGTGTAAATGTCATAAATCACATGTGAATATCAACAATCTCTTAAGTTCTTGGCAGTCTTCTTTTGCTCCAATGTCTATAAACCAGTGGTGCTGGCTTCCAAGCTTGGAATATAGAATTTGCGTGAGGTGTGTTCAGTTTCTTTCCAAGGAAATTCCATGGGGGCATAGTAATTGTACATAAAACTTAGAATATGCTCTGTGAAGATAAGAAGAGAAAGAGCGCCGATTGCTTCAAAATTGTATATTCACTCTGATTGACTAGGATAAATGGGAATCACAGAATTATATCCAAGAAACCGCCAGGCAGATAAAAGAGAAGTACAGGGTAGGGCATAGGAACAGCCTATGAACAAGACATAATATGCAAAAGAAACAAACAGAAAGATGGCAAACGATTTACGAAGAAGTAGCCTTCTCGCGAGCTTCACGTTCAACCTTCTCCCGCTCCTCAGTCTCCTTCTGCTCACGAACCTTAGCCAGAACAACTTCACGGAAAATAGCACCGCGAGCAGCGCTGGCCAGACTCTTCTTCTTAGCATGGCCAGAGGTAGGACTGGCATCGCCGCTTGGCACTGATGGCTCCGCTGCACTTGGCTCTTCGGTTGAGTCGCCCATGTCCATGGGACTGGGGATATCCTCTGCATCTCCATCCTCTTCCTCGTGCATCTTGAGCGACTCGATACGGTTGGCGAGCTTGACGATCTCGATTCCGCGGCGGAGACGGGCACGCGCAATGTAGGTGCGGATTTCAGGCAGCAAGTCACGGTCACTCGCAGTCTCTCCGGTCAGCCATACGTGCTTGAGGGCTTCCTCGGAGGAAACTCGCTTGGCGGGGTCCGTATTCAGGAGAGTGAGAATGAAATCTTTGGCGTCCTGGGACACATCGCGCCAGTACCGCTCGTGGAAGATGATGCGGCCTGTTCGGCATTCTTCGATGAGGTCGGTCAAGTTCTCGGATCGGAAGGGGGAGTAGCCACACAGGAGGGTATAGGTGATGACACCGAGCGACCACATATCGACGGCCTTGCCGTGGCCCTGCTTGAGCATGACCTCGGGAGCAGCATATCCAAAGGAGCCGGCCATGCTGGTCAGTACCTCGGAGGGGCTGTGTAGCATCTTCGCGATACCGAAATCTGCCAAGACCAATTGAGAGTCGGCGGAGCGGGTGAGGTACAGGAGGTTCTCGGGTTTCAAGTCTTCGCAGAGGTTAGTTACATGTAGAGCGCTAGCATGACTTAAGGAGACCTACCCCGGTGAACGATGTTGCGCTTGTGCAGATAGTTCACAGCATCAAGCACCTGGCGGATGGTCTGCGACGCATCCTTCTCAGTGAACTTGCCATACTCGCAGATCCGGTCGAACAACTCGCCACCGGTGGCTAGCTGTGTAACGATATAGAATTTGTCCTATATCCGCGATTAGAACTCTGCACCGATTGGATCAGACAGAGACGTGCTCACCTTAGATTCGAACCAGTCGACGAAAGAGACAATGTGGGGATGTTGGAGTGATTGCAGCATCTCAAGCTCATCGTGGACCATGCCCTCGTTGCCACGGACATTTTTCTTCAGAATTATCTTGACCGCAACCTTCTGTCCATCGGTGGCATCCGCCTCGCGAACAATTCCGTATGTACCAGCACCCAGCGTCCGTCCGAATTTATAGAGAGCCCTATAGCCAGCGGAAACTAGGTCAGCGAATGTGGGGCAAGGAAGCTACGATAAGGAGGCCGTACTTCTTTTCGTAGCTCTCCGGCTGTCCGGACAGCTTGTTGAGCATGTTTGCGACTAGAGGGATGTAAGTTAGTAAATTGCGGGGCGTATCAGACGAATCGCGCAAATCAAGTGAAGCAAAGGTCCCCTGGAGGAGCCGACCGAGCGGGGAGGGCTTAAGCATGGCGAAGCAGACCGTGACACAAAATGACAGCTAGAAGACCAAGTCCTCCTAGCCCCCATATATTCCATGGGGGGCTGACAGGCAGCGTGTAGATCGACATGGCAATTCCAACGCAGTGAAGAGTCAGATTATGGAAAAGGCTGACGCGAAGCCGGACAGTATTCGGCCAAGACCGCAGGGCGAATCATAGCAAAATGGAACAGAGGACAAAAGTCCCGCAAATATGGAATATCGACTCACAACTCATGATGTGGGGATAGGGCTGCAGACGCCCAAGGTGGCAGACGCGGTGTGCGATGGGCTCGAATGGGCACGGAACCCGTTAGGTAGCGACTAGAATGAAGAAGAGGAGGATTGAAGGGTTGAGGCTTTTAAGGTCAAAAATGGTGTCCAATCTAGCAGGAGAATAGGGTCAGCGATATAGAAAATATAGAAACGCCCAATTCGAGGGGTGACCATGCGCGGGGGTGGCTGCATGAGGATTTTAAACAGAACCAATGGAGTAGACATACCACACGTAGACCAAGGAATATCAGATATCGCAGCTCAATCGCAAATCAGGCCAAGGAGATGAAAATAAAAAAGATAGAAAAAATAAAACGGCTGAAGAAGGGGAAGATCAGGAGTTCTAGACGCGATAAGCCTTGAGTTGATTCGGGGCTGTAGGGTTTAGCGCCAGCACAGCCACACCGGGAATGTTACTGCCTCCAGGGCTGACTCTATAAAAATTAATACATAACACGATATCAATTAATTAAAAAAGAGGAGAAAAACATGATTATGATCATGATCATAAATTAACAGCAAGATGTATATTCCCAAGGTTAGCATTAAAGTCCAATTAGTTAACTTTACGCACATTAACTATATGTATAGTGTAGATCTCATGGCATGTGATTTTGGGAGATGTCACTATTTACAACCCACTATGAAAATCCACCGTCCTTTTCTGTTTTCTGTTTTCTATTTTCTAGCCCCAAAGTGCAAATATATACGTTGTTCTTTTTTTCCCCCTAATTAAAAGGTAAGGGCTCAAATAGAACATCTTAAGCTCCAAGAACTGTGGTAGATCTATTTAGAGCCACTACACCACTCTATCCCAACACTATTTTAGACTGGCAATCAAAATAGAGAAAAGAATGATACCTGTGTAACTTGAAAAATGTCATGTTGCATGCCAACTAATATACAGGTCCTTCCCTGATTGGCAATAAATACCCCGACCCCACCAAGGTGCCTGTGTGGCACAGCGTCGTCACCAGACGTCATAGGCTTAACCAGAGCTATATGAACTACAACCACTACTCTGCTGAACTTGGAGATTTGCTATCATAATATCCCGAAGAACTTGAACTTTCAATCATGCTATCCTTCCTCTTCTTTCTTACCTTCCAGGTAATTCTACTCGGCGCTTGGGTCGCTGGTTACCTAGACCCATATCAGAAACAGCTCCAAGAGCTCTTGTTGGACTACATGGGTGAGACAAAGGTGTCCTATGGATTGAAAAGTATGTTATATCAAGGAGAGAGATAGGAAAAGAAAATGAAAGAAAATTATACTAACCTGAATCTATTCATAGAAAGCCTCACAGGCAAGAAACTCACCGAGGACCAAAACCTAAGCAAGATTCAAGGTCAACTCGGGGATCAACTGGGCGGCATATTTGGGAAAGGAGGACTTGGAGAAGGATTTGGTTCTATGTTGAGTAAAGGTCTTTGAGTAGACTGTTAGGACGAAGGATAAGAATAGCGAGATTGTCTTCTGATTGAAATTAAGATTAAGTTTGAGATTTAAGTCGAAGAAACAACTCCAACCATAAGGATGTTTCCAGGCTACCTTCATCCAAGCGGTAAACATACAAAAGACCATACATAGCGTGATCTTTTGTACTGAACCAACTGAGCGAAGAAGTAACGATGATCTCCTTTAGTATACCTGATGACATACTCCTCAACTCCACCAAACCACCTTGATCCGTAGCCAAAGTGATCAAACACAGACCATGATGATAACCATGACCTAGAGTGTCAACCACCTAGATAGGTTGAGCGATGCGATACCCATCGAGCATCCGGAATCGAATAGCTCCAATGTCATGCAGCTGCATCGGCACTTGCACGGCTGGTAACCCCCGAAAAAGAAAAGAAAAGCACAAAAACAAAAGCAAAAGAGCAAATGATAAGAAGAGAACGAACAGTAAGATCTCACCGCTGCAGCCATTCGCGAGATCCATAACCCGTCGGACCTAGCTCCGCCAAAGCAGTTTCGCAAAACTTATCATAGTACTCAGTCCCCTTCCAGAGACTATGCTTCGACCGAATACCAATCCTCCAATCCTCTTCCCTGAGCCGCTTAATGCGTTGCGCCTTAGTCTCAACCCGAATAACGTTTCCATACTCATCAATATTAGGCCCCTCAATCACAGGAGATTCCTGTGGTTCACTGGAATCGGGGTTAAGCTTAACGGGTGAAAAAGTCCAGAAGGAGGCAGAGCGGGCCATAGTCGTGCTGCGAGAGCGACGGGCCTGCTGCAGGTCCGAAAAATGTTTAATCTGCTTACGGAGTCCGGTCACGTCGGCGGGAATATGCTCACGGAGCCACTTGATGCCGTTGTTGAACTCATTAATCTGGGCGGCGCGCTCGGCGCTGACAGGCGCGGGGAAGGGGGATGACTTTCTAGACCGCAAAGAGGGCGACTTGATGCTTTTCTGCTCTGGCGGGCCTGCGCGGCTGGTGAACGGCGAGCTGAGGGTGGGGATCTTCTTTCTTATAACGGGGGTGGGTGTCGATGGAGCCATGGTCGTGGGCGAAGAGAGGACGGGACTCAGACGCTTCGGCCGCGGTGCTAGGGTTGAAGGACTCGCCTCCTCTGTGTTAGCATTCAGACGTCCGGATGGGATTATCTTCAAGGGTAGCCGGGGAGGGCGAGCTCGGATCGGTCGATTCACCTCATTCCTAGAAGTTTCTTGCTCCGAATCTCCGCAGATTATCATTGCAGAACTGCTGCACATGAGTACCTCGCCGGAGCTCTTCCGGATGGCAAGTGGGGATGGAATGAGCTCGCTGCGCTTTACCGGGTCCTCGAGTTCAGCTGGGAACTTGATTGGAGATAGACGCACTGGTGGCCGCTTGAGATGTTTTGGCGGTGCGCGGGCAACAAAAGGGTCGTCGGTTCCCGCGATAATGGAGTTATCAATCATGCGGGCAATGTTTCGGACGATAGATCCCCCATTGGGAAGTCTATCTCGGGCACTATTAAAAGAGAGCAATTGGTCCCTAGTAGCCGGACGAACAGGAACGGCGCGTGGTGGAGGCAGAGGCGCACGGTTCGGAGGCGGGATATGAAAGGCTGGAGGAGGAGGGTCATAGTCAAGACGTGAGACTTCTCGAACAGTAGGAGGTGGCGTGAGACAAAAGGCAGTGGTAACAGAAGGGTTTGAAGAGGAAGAGGGAGGAGACTGGAAAGGCGAAGGAGGAGCGTGAGCTAGCCTAGCATTATGAGCCGACAGATTCTGAACTGACAGAGCTTGAGCATTTGGATCAGGGCCAGGAAGAACACCATGCGCCGGGGAAAATGCAGGGCTCCAGACGACAGTACTCAACGAAGACCGAGGAGTCGAGTCGGGCGAATGAAGAAAAGTAACTGGCGAGTAGGTCTGGTTGGGATTCAGAACCGGCATGGGGATTGTAGCTGGCAAAGACTCATAGCAAGTCTGGAACCGTTCCATAGCAGAAGTCAGAAGCGGGACTTTGACAGCCGAAAAGATATGAGGTGCTCGTCCCATATACTCATATGAGGTGGCCGCATAATAGTGGAGGTAGGTCGCACAGATCGGATGAAGCTATGCATAAACCCGTTAGCAATCAGAATTTGGGATGAGATCTGTGAAATACAAACCGGACTGGACGCGGTGTCTATGAGCTGATTGCATTGCAAGGCACATTGCTTGTGTTGTTGATTAAAACATAGCCATTTCACATCCACGAGAGCTTTCTTCCATTCATAAGAGTTCTGTGGAGAAGAGAAGGCACCAAAGGGAAATGAGGCTTCTTGTGGCATTTTTGAGGTATTTGAAGATGGATAGGGGGAGATACAGAGGGAACAAGTGATGGAAGAGGAAGAAGAAAAGACGAAACGCGAGATGGGACAAGAAGAGAGAGAGGAGACAAGACTGGAGACTGCCTCTTCAAATTAAGACCTGGGCACTCGAGGTGCCAACCCAGAGCTTGCCAGACAAGTCCAGTGCCTATGCTTCTACCTTGTTCAGTTATGTTTATCGGGCTTGACCAGCCAGGACGCTTAATACCACAGGCATAGCCCCAAATATATTTTCAGACATCAAATAAAGTACATCTTTATCTCTAGCAGCCAAGAAGTAGTGTCTACATCATCCTCCTTCCTGGAAATCTACGTAGTGGACATGCATGCAAACCGAACATAATATTAGTTATTGAATTGTAGATAACTTGACACTCAACATGGCTTCTGGTAAGGATATTTGCCAGTCTTAATACCCCACAAGCCCATATTCTGGTCATCTAGACCTGCTCAACAATCTGAACATCATTCATCTCATGCTTGATCTCGGCCCGTGACAATGCCTCACCAGTCGCCGAAAGCGACTGTAGGAAATCACCCAGTAAACGGTCAAGTTCTGCTGTTACCACACCATCATCCATGCCCTCCATCAGACTCGCCGCATTCGGAGCATTGAGAGCTGGGAAGGGGATTGGTCCCTTATCTTCTACCTGTAGCATGGGGACTTCAGACATATCGTGTCGTACATGTCGAATAGTTTCGAATATGGGGGATCCCGGTTCTGAGACCGGGCCCGAAGTCACCGAGGAAGCAGTGGGGGTTTGGGGAACTGGAACGGCGGTGGGTAAAGCTGTCATACCATGTTCGGACGAGGAAGTCCTGGAGTGTTCCTTCCATACAGGGTGAGATTCTTCGTCTGGCCCGGGGCCATCAAGAATCCCTGAAGCCTCATATTCATTGTAACCGGCCGATTCCAGCATTGCGGGGAGTTCTGTGTCGAAGAAATGACTGTGATGAAGCGAGTTTGCACCCTCTGGGGTGGTGGGGCGATCGAAGCGGAAGGGATCGTAATCTGAGTCGGAGGTATTCGATGCCGAAGTTGAAGGACGTGAGTCACCTGGTTCATCTGTTGACAGTGGCTGCGACTGCGGCGGAGGTTGAACCTCAGGCAGCGGGGCGCGGAGGGTGTCATGTCGGTCATCGTAGGTTTGGCTCTCGGGCACAGATCCCATCACTGGGAATGTCCACTGCATGGTGGCTCGCTTCTCAGCCTGGAAAGACTCCTCTGCCACGGGCTCCTGTGCAGGGACCTCCGTCTCCTTTTCTTCCGGTTGCTCCTCTTCATCTTGTGTGACCTCTTCATCTTGTGTGAATGACGGGAATTTCCAGTCCATAGTGGGAGGTCGAGGACCAGAAGGCACGAATGTATCCTCGAGGTTTGCATCGTCATCCACGCCACTAACAGACGACTTTGAGCTATTCTCTGAGGAGGTCCTGTTCAATCGAAGACTGGACCGGGTCGCGCGGATAGTATTTGCATCGACCAATTGGAAAGGCTGCGCAGATGGAGCTCCTGCTGCGTAGTGTGAGGCCTCGAATGACCCAATATCGATATCGAGGAAAGTTGATGTGACAGAAGAGCGGTCTGTTTCCGCACGAAGGGGAAGATCTGAAGTGGGTTGGGCGGGTTCGATGGGGACAAAGTCATTTTTTGTTTCATATGTGTAGCTGGGCTTCTCTTCATTAAACAGGCCTTCCATTGCCACTGCGCCTCGGCGCACACGTTCATCGAAATTGACCTTATCTTCATAGTTAAGATCGTCTTCCGAAATCGTTTCGTACATGTCTTGCTCAGGCGTTGTGTCAGTAGGGCTGATTGACTGCTGCATCTCCGCCAGCGAAGCGGCAATTTCATCCAGGTCAATGACAGAGAATCTTCGCTCGAATCCATCAGTAGTACTGAAATTCCAGTCATCATCTGACTCCTCGATGCCTGGGAGCTCAGCTGCCGCAGCACCGCCTGGGTGGAACAAAGAAATCCGCTGGCCTCCTCGCTGGGACCACTGGTAGTAGTTTCTCACCAACTCACTAACCGAGGCGGTTGGATATTCCTCCTCCGTATCGGCAATGTAGGGGTGGGCAAGTATATCTGCCATCGTGGGACGGGTTTCTGGGTTGGAGTCAAGGGCGTACGCAATAAGGTCCTTCAGACCTTGGCTGTACATATCGCTGTCCAGCTGGGGAGTCTTGCGGTTTAGTTGGCGACCGATTTGCATTCGTTCTCGCAGGCCTGCATTTGGCGGGTTCCCGTTCGCGAACTCAAACAGTGTGCACCCATACGCCCACACATCGATCTCATTGCCATATTGATGGGCCTCTCCACGAGTTGCAAACATCTCTGGTGGCATCCAGTGTGGTGTTCCAATCCAGGTGGATCGTTTGTCTCGCTGTGATTGAAGAACACCAGCAACACCGAAGTCACAGATTTCCAGACGTCCCTCTTCATGAACAAGAATATTTGCAGCTTTCACATCACGATGAATTATTCCAGCTTCGTGAATAGCATGAAGTCCAACAGCTAGCTCACGAGCGATTGGAATTATGTATTTCTCATCGAGCTTGTCATTTGTTGCACGCATCAAGGTACGGACACTGCCACCGGGGCAGTACTCACAAACCAGCCACAACTGAGAGTGAATGGAGATGGCTTCAATGAGCTCATTGATGTTTTTGGCACCAGAATCCTTCACTTGCTTCATCACCTTTGTTTCATGGATGAAATCTTTGATCGACTCATCTCTGAAATCTCGAAGTGACTTGTAGTCTAGCGAGTCAATATCTAGGACTTTGATGGCAACCAGTCGACCCGATGGTGTTTGGTGACCTTTGTAAACACGACCATAGGCACCTTTGCCTATCAACTCTTCAAACTCGTATGGTGGAACCTCGGTTTTCGCACGACGACACATCTCTTGGACGGCTACCCCTTGTTCGCGAGCTAGCTTGATCGCTTCTGCCTTGTGCCTGGTAATGGCAGCCATTGCCGAGGATGGGTCCAAGAGACGGGATGTTCGAGAATCCATTGTGAGTGAAGATAAGCTTGAAATGAGCGAGGTGTGAAAAGAGATAGTTGTAAGAGTGAGACAGGCGTAAAAGTGAGTAAGGAGCAAAGATAAAGATGGGGACTGAGTGAGACGAGTTTGAAGGGATTGTAAAGATGTGCGGCTTCTCTGACGTAGAATTAATGATTGAGAGCGGATTGCGTACGTTTGCGGGTTCAACAAAGCAACTGTTTGAACTTTTTAACCCAACGCTTCCAGATTCTCTTGGGTTTTGATGTGTTCCTTCTTCCAGAGGCGAAAGAGATCGTTGACGGACGAGCAGAGGTATAAAGAGGCGTCTTCTGGTAATATCGAGGAGAATCTGAAGGTGTAGCGCGCCCTTCGAAGATAGTGCGGAAGGAGTGCTGCCTTCTGATCACGTAGCTGATTGGACGAACTCTCGAGGAGTATTCAGGGAAAGGGATGTAGGTGTACCGATTTGCGCGCTCCTGAGCCTGGTGGGAGGTTTCGGGATCCGCTTGTTGTCCTTTATGATAGTCAACGGGGAGACGTAACTCTCCGAAAGAGGCGCTGGGGGTCAGGGAAGGGATCTGAAGGGAAATGTTCCGAGTGTTGGTGACAGTTGAATAAGACGGCGGGGAGATTCTAGAAGAACTAGGAGAGGTATTACCTAGCTCACTGGTGTCGAGTGCAGATGTATCAGCCTTGGCACAAATGCTAGAAGAATCTTGTTCTCCGATCGGGTTACTGTCACCCAATTCTTCAGAGAATCGGGAAATCCGAGGAAGACTGGTCGCAGGTTTGATCTGACTGCTGGCAAGCGTTGATGTGTTAGCCTGGGCACTGTCTTTCGGTGGCACTCGTTGGGTGTCGGAATAAACGTGGGAGAAACTTTGGTCCTTGACTGTCTGGTTGCGGCCGGGAGGTCTTGGGAATGATTCAAGTAGCTGCTCAAAGCTCCCAGGTTGTTTTAAAGCCTTCGGGTCCGGGGATTCTTCGCAATTGCCCTGGGTTGCGGGGGTCTCGTTGAAGCTATCAACAGAGTCAGGTGGCTCACCTATTTCGCTGTCATAGACTGATGGGCTCGGGGGTCCAAAGGATCCAGGGTGTGCAACGTTTTCTGATGCCTTAAGGTGTTCAGGAAGATCAGAGGAGTCGAGACAGGGAGGCTCGTCCTCCGTTGCAAGCTGTTGGAGTAACTCAGAGATCAGAGATTCTGAATCTGTACCTATCAGGGAAGTCCACTCTTCTTCGTAGTGAACCCGATCTCTGCGTTCTGAACCTTCACAAGAGTCACTAGGATGACGGTGCGCAGATCGTAGACGAAGCTGATTGGCACGTTCACTGTGAGGGTGGCAGGTTAGTCAGGGAAATCCACTCAGTAAACGGAGGAATATCTTGCCTGAGCCTAGCAGATGCAAGCCTGCGAGCAATACTGGTAGAGCTGTTTTGGCCAGATTGATTTCGGCTGTGACTGGCCTCAGGGTCTGCACCAGAAAGCCCAGCAAATGGGTCGGACGAACCGAAAAGACGAAGCAAGAATTGATGCTCGCTTGGGGGAAATCCGAGCTCCTCAATTAGATCTTCGGGACTAGGAGACTCGTTAGCCATTCCGTTTCAAATTACACTGGCCGTAATCAATTGAGTCCGTGGGTCGATTCAATGATAGAAGAAGGGTACACGGGGTGGAAGCAATCGTCTCGCGTCGCGCCGCACCGCCGAGCATTTTAAAACTCACCTGGCACTGGCCGCTTATTTAATCGAAAAGCGAGCCACCATATGCGAAATCCGAACATCCATATAATCGAGTCGACACGCCGAGTTTCTGCATTTGCCCTTCCAATAGGGAATGCTTCGCAGGGGCAAACGGGCCGTGGCGGTGAAGTAAGGCAGAGCCGATATTTCAGAGCCCGCAGCCTGATTAACACACAGCTTCCCACCGATATAGTACAAGGCTTGATAGGTGTGAATGTGTTGAAGAACAAAGCGATGAAGACTGACTCCCAGATGTCGTTGGTGTACTGTGGCACGTGATATACACACCATTATCGTGATCCTCAAGAGATCTTATCGCTTATCGTGACCTATCGTGAACCTTGAGGTGGATCGCTTGCTTTGAGATTCCAAGTTCTTTTTGTTGCTCCACGAATGCTTTTGCATCCATCCATACATTGTAGTTACTACACTAGAATGGGGGGCTAGGGAATGATTTAAGTATCAGCCTTATAGGTAGATAATCATATTCTTAAACTAGAGGTGATTTCCTAGGAATATTGTCAAGATACCAGAAAAATAACTAATATGGATATTTCAGTTAGAAATACGCGGCGTATCAACTGTAGAGGGTGATATACGGGTTCTTGCTATTAGTATGTGACCATATCATATACACTAATTTTCTTCAGAAACTCGCAAGTCTGACATCTACAACAGGACTCACATCCTGAACTATTGATCGGCCGGTATCAAATGCCACCCCCAAAGGATCCGAATCGCCCTATTACCCGGCTTGAATCCTTTCTATTTTCTGAAGGAGAAGCCCACCTCCACCAGTTGGCCAAGGGAATTCATCGAAGCGAACGGTTCAATCGGGATATCCTACTACTTGCTCTTCCGCTGGTCAAAGCGATCGGTCATCGAATGGCCATCGAAGTCGCCAAGGAAGCCAATCTCAATTCGAAATTACTTGATATCTACGATATCGGAGTCATAAAAGAAGACTTTGTCTGGTATGTCGAACAAGGCGGGCTGAGTAGAGAGATCCAACGGGAGATGGAATCTCAAGCGGCAGATGCCCCGCTCCCAGATTTGGAAAACATCATCGGGGTTCAGGACTTCAGGCTTATAGCAATGCTCCTATGGTATCGAAGGACTTGTGGGATGAATTTGTGGCTGGGTTGGAGACGTTCGGGGGGATGCTAAACTCCATTTTCTGTCCCGGCTTTAAATATTGAAAATGCATTAACAGATCATCAGGCAGGCAAATTCCAAACCAACAATATTTTATAATTACTGTATGGCAGGCTACGTAGAAAACATAGTACATCAAATTCTATAAACGGGAGAGAGCCCAGATCACAAAGATAGAAAGGGAGAGCCGCAGGCCTACACCCTTATCAATGGAGGAGCCGGTAGACTTCTCCTCGTGAGCATCTCTGGCTTCTGTATCATCTGCCTCACCCTTTTCCAACGTAGTCCCGGGGACTGCATTCTTGCCAGTCGTGATTTCGAGGATTTCATCTTCGTTGGAGTTCCAATTCCTCTGTGCTAAAGAGATTTCGTCATTGCCCATATCATAGACAGTGTAGATCTGTTGAAGAAAGTTTGCCCCAAGCCTAACACAGTTTGCATCCTCGGTATCAGTTTTCGCGGCAATTCCCAAATAGCAGATGTCCTCATCATTAAACACGCTACGTCTTTCTATGAATAGATCAATTCCAAGCTTGAAACTCGCAGCCCCGAACTCGAATGTGAGTGTTGTGTCACTGGAAATTATGTTGCATGGGATAGAGGCTGGCCCAGAGGTTGGTGTTTCAGTGGCACCCAATTGAGAGAAGATATCCTGCGCGATGGATTCTGGGACATAGGTGTAAGAGAGCGAGGGATCAAGTAGAGCTTGTGTCGTAGGCCCCTCAGGAAATACCGATGTCCCATTAATAGAAAAGCTTGTCATGTTGACCCTGAAAGCCTTTCTATAATCGGCAGGGTTGTTGACGATGGGAAGCGTGTGGAGTGTACCATTGTATTTGGATCTGTTCACACCACCAAAAAGAAGAGCGCCTGCTTTTTCATCCTGCGAGACTTCTGCGGATATAGAATGTAGAGGATTCTCCATATACATGCTGAAAGCCGGGGACTTGATGGTTCCAGCATTAACCAATGTTTCAGTAAGGGAGATAAAAGACGAGTTTGTTTCGCCATATCCCAAGCCGATAATATCTATTCAAAAAATTAGTCAATAACAAATATGACGTCGGGATGGTACAGGCATATGGGCTTACTTTGGGTGGCATCCACATTCAGAATCCCGATCTTCATAGACTCCACGGTTGTGTCTCCAATGACAAGAGTATCGATAACAAACTCCCCAGTGATGGTCATGGATGATTCAATCGACTTGCTAACGGTGAAGTTGGAATGCAGATCATTCATGCTAGTAGAAAGGGTCTTGTTATAGCCACCGGAGCCGTTGCAGTTTTTATTGCCTCGAAACGTAGCACAATCATGCGAGGTCCCTACAGGCACCCAGCACTCATTGCCGACCATCCAAAATGCCGCCTCAATTCTCTGTGGCGGGGTACCAAGTGAGATGTTGGTGTAGATAATATTTTCCTGAAAAGGTAAAGGTTAGTATAAGTAAATATATCAAGACAAAAGCATCATACATCATTGCCGATTGGAAGAAGAACTGTATTGTCCCTCCTTAACTGGGTATTGGCAACATATTTGGCGGCTTTCTTATGTTTTAAAGGCACATTGAACACAGCAGGCATCTCTCTTTTCTCTAGAGACAAAGCATCTGCAAGAGAGACGCCCAGCAGGGCGAAAAGCCACGACCCACTACGCATGTCGATCGGCCGTTAAACGTGGGGATATTTTACAACTCATCTTTGTACTGGAGATCGTCGGCATTTTAATTATTCTATAGGGGCAAAATATCATATCACTAAATTGACGCTAAACTCCTAGGATTGTCACCTGGCTATGGCAAAACAACTTGGCATAGTCGCAATTGGACTCGCTTATCCAAGGGGCTCTTAGCGATTGGGTGGCGCCCGCTAGGTGTTTGAGGGTCTGAGAGTCCCGAATATTTGGGGGCTAATAGACTAAAAGTATTAGTTTAGAACACCTATAATGATGAGGGGTTATACAAGTCTATGTTATAAATTATTAAAAGACGATATTTCGTTTCCATCTAGGGAGGTTCAAAAATGCTAAGGTAACACTTGTACCTGAGCTAACAATCTCTTGATTGCCTTGTCCATAATCCCATGTAATAGTGTAATAACTATATAGTTCCAGTTTTTAGTTCTGCTTGTTCTAAACTATTTGGCAGCACTGCCTATGTATATGCTGCTTAGTCTGGATTTGACTAACCGCGTATATATTTCTCCATGGGTAGCCTTGGAAGGCACAAAAGAACTTCATTTAAAGCCTGCACAACACAAGACATGACAAACCGTTGCTTTTATAGAAATATAGAACCTGACGCATGCATAGCGCTGAGATTGTACAGTTAAGTGTAAATCATTTTGAAGTTACAAGGTTTACTACTGGCGACTTTGTATCTGCAGCATCCTGCCTCATCCCTGGATAGGTTGCCGTTTCACTGTATCACACCAAACATAGTCATGACTGTGACAGAAAATATGTCGATTTCTAGGATTGTTCGGTCAGGATACGAGATCCTGAAAAAAAAAACAAATGACACCGAGGAGCGATGGCGGGGATATTGTTTCAGGTCACATGTGAGAATACACAGCTTAGAAAGCACCCAGGTAGCAAAAGATGGCCATCAATGGAATTAGATAGATAGGCTTGTTCACTGGATTCCTCGGTTGGTAAGGTGGCAATTGCTTACGAGCTTGGGTGATATTGCTTTCGGTTGCGCTCAGCTTTTGGGGGAGTGAACGAATTGGCAAGAGAGGCTATATGGGTACTTCTAGATGAAAGGTTCTAATCTTATCATCTGGATTTTTCTGTAGGCCAACGGAAACGCCCGCGGAATCGCACGATTCCATATCATACGGCCGGGATGGCTGCCGGGACTGGGCACCGGAACACTCGGGCTAGAAGACCGTCCCGGCTTATGGATTGTTTTGAGATCCTCTGTTTTAGTGATAGGATCGAGCGTTTGACAAATTTTAATTATTCGTTTCATTAATTTTGCCTTGACTACAACATACATCTAGCTTTGTAGTTTCTTCCTATTGCTTCCTATAATTTAGTAGTTGTATGGAGGTGGGATGATCTGATGCCTTGATGCCTTGGTGCCTCCAAATGAGGAGTTCTTTTGCCCCCCACTAATGCACGGTGCTGCATGAGCCAATTGTGAAGATCGGTGAAAATTTGCTCCAAGGCTTATGTAGAAAGAGGAATTTCTTTTTAACGTGGTTGAATGCTTGGGATATCTCTATTTTAAATCATACATATACATATCAATAATAGCTGTATCGGTGTACCATACATTGAGCTCTTGAGCTATAGGCTTGAGGTAACCCTGGGGATCAAATTTGAAGGCTTACTAATGTTGCATTGCCCCACCAAGTTGATAGAGGATAGAGGGGTTTTGGGCAGAGTCAAGTGTTTTAGGGAACCTTGGAAAGCTAAAAGCATGGAATGAATCATAGGCTCTAATTTGACTCTTTTTTAGCATTTAGAAAGGTCAAAGAGATCATATGTAGCTATCAAAAGAGTCGGAACACCTCTCGCTTGTGATATAATTGTCAAACGTCACCGGAGCACCCACGGATGGCACAGAAAAGTCACCCTAGTGAGTCAAGACATGAAAGTATAGAGGATTTGAAATCAAAAAAAAGGCCCAAAGTGAAAAGTCAATGAGAAGACTGTGAGCAATTAAAAAAAAGAGAATAATACACCCAATGAATTTCTATAAGGGAAAAAAAAATGGGCTAGTCAGCTCAAAACGCACAAAACCGGGAGGAGAAAAAAAGTCCCCACTTTCGCTTTTCTTTTTTTTCTCTCCCACTTTCCCTTCCCCTCTTCTTCTTCTTCCCCCCTCTATCTCTCCCAGGAGCAGTTGCACATAGGACATTTTTGATTCAGTGATCGAGAACTCTCGGTCCTAGTCATCTGTGTGCTCTTCTTCTTCTTTTCTATCCTAGTTATTCTAAGGATCAACCGCCAAGATGGTTAAGTAAGTTGTACTTCAGACAATTTTCCAGGACATACAGCTAACGATGATATGAACAGCTTCACTATCGAAGAGGTTAGTATTTGCCTTTCAAGAGTTCCAAGGTTATATCAAACATTACCAGCGGAAGGAGGGGATATATTTTGTCTCGATTGCTCTCATTCCATGCCTTCCATTTCCTATCTCACTTTCGCTGGTGATGCTTGAGACCCTTTCTCTCTTGAAACAGATCATCATCAAATTATCATGAATGTCGTTACTGACCTAGATCAGATCCGGTCCCTGATGGACCGTCGGGCTAACATCCGAAACATGTCCGTCATTGCTCACGGTAAGTTCTTTACTATAGATGATGTAATATTGTGAAATGGCTGATTCTGACTTTGTTTCTGTGCCCAGTCGATCACGGAAAGTCCACCCTCTCCGACTCCCTTGTCCAGCGTGCCGGTATTATTTCCGCCGCCAAGGCTGGTGAGGCTCGTTTCATGGACACCCGTCCCGATGAGCAGGACCGTTGCATTACCATCAAGTCCACTGCTATCTCCCTCTACGCCAAGTTCCCCGACCCAGAGGATCTTAAGGAGATTCCCCAGGCCGTCGATGGTGACGAGTTCCTGATCAACTTGATCGATTCCCCCGGTCACGTCGATTTCTCGTCTGAGGTCACTGCCGCTCTCCGTGTCACTGACGGTGCCCTTGTCGTTGTCGACTGTGTCTCCGGTGTCTGTGTCCAGACCGAGACCGTCCTGCGTCAGGCCCTGACCGAGCGTATCAAGCCCGTTCTGTGCATCAACAAGGTCGATCGTGCTCTTCTCGAGCTCCAGGTCTCCAAGGAGGATCTGTACCAGTCCTTCTCCCGTACCATTGAGTCCGTCAACGTCATCATCTCCACCTACTTCGACAAGGCTCTCGGTGACGTCCAGGTCTACCCCGACAGAGGAACCATCGCCTTCGGTTCCGGTCTCCACGGCTGGTGCTTCACTGTCCGCCAGTTCGCCGTCAAGTACGCCAAGAAGTTCGGTGTTGACCGCAAGAAGATGCTTGAGCGTCTCTGGGGCGACAACTTCTTCAACCCCAAGACCAAGAAGTGGACCACCAAGAGCGAGTACGAGGGCAAGACCCTTGAGCGTGCCTTCAACCAGTTCATCTTGGACCCCATCTTCAAGATCTTCGCCGCTGTCAACCACAACAAGCGTGATGAGATCTTCACCCTCCTCGACAAGCTCGAGGTCTCCCTCACCAACGATGAGAAGGAGCTCGAGGGCAAGGCCCTCCTCAAGCTCATCATGCGCAAGTTCTTGCCTGCCGCTGATGCCCTTCTGGAGATGATCTGTATCCACCTTCCTTCCCCCGTCACTGCCCAGAAGTACCGTGCCGAGACTCTCTACGAGGGTCCCACCGACGACAAGGCCTGCATCGGTATCCGTGACTGTGACCCCACTGCTCCTCTGATGCTTTACGTCTCCAAGATGGTGCCCACCTCCGATAAGGGTCGTTTCTACGCCTTCGGTCGTGTCTACGCCGGTACCGTCAAGTCCGGTATCAAGGTCCGCATCCAGGGTCCCAACTACATCCCCGGCCGCAAGGAGGATCTCTTCATCAAGGCCATCCAGCGTACCATTCTCATGATGGGTCGCTTCGTTGAGCCCATTGAGGATGTCCCCGCCGGTAACATTGTCGGTCTGGTCGGTGTCGATCAGTTCCTGCTCAAGTCCGGTACCCTCACCACCGATGAGACTGCCCACAACATGAAGGTCATGAAGTTCTCCGTCTCCCCCGTCGTGCAGCGCTCCGTCGAGGTCAAGAACGCCCAGGATCTGCCCAAGCTTGTCGAGGGTCTCAAGCGTCTCTCCAAGTCCGACCCTTGTGTCCTGACCATGATCAACGAGTCCGGCCAGCACATTGTTGCCGGTGCCGGTGAGCTCCACCTCGAGATTTGTCTTAAGGATCTCGAGGAGGACCACGCTGGTGTTCCCCTCCGTATCTCCGACCCCGTCGTTGCTTACCGTGAGACCGTCGCTGGTACCTCCAGCATGACTGCTCTGTCTAAGTCGCCCAACAAGCACAACCGTCTGTACATGACTGCTCAGCCCATCGAGGAGGAAGTCTCCCTCGCCATTGAGTCTGGCAAGATCAGCCCCCGTGACGACTTCAAGGCTCGTGCCCGTGTCCTTGCTGACGAGTACGGCTGGGATGTTACCGATGCCCGTAAGATTTGGTGCTTCGGTCCCGACACCACCGGTGCCAACCTGCTCATCGACCAGACCAAGGCCGTTCAGTACCTCAACGAAATCAAGGATTCCGTTGTCTCCGGTTTCCAGTGGGCTACCCGCGAGGGTCCCGTTGCCGAGGAGCCCATGCGTTCCGTCCGCTTCAACATCCTCGATGTTACCCTGCACGCTGATGCTATTCACCGTGGTGGTGGTCAGATCATCCCCACTGCTCGTCGTGCTCTGTACGCCGCTGCCATGTTGGCCGACCCCGGTCTCCTCGAGCCCATCTTCAACGTCGAGATCCAGGTTCCCGAGCAGGCTATGGGTGGTATCTACGGTGTCCTCACCCGCCGCCGTGGTCACGTCTACACCGAGGAGCAGCGTCCCGGTACCCCTCTGTTCATGGTCAAGGCTTACTTGCCCGTCAACGAGTCCTTCGGTTTCCCCGCCGATCTCCGCTCCGCTACCGGTGGCCAGGCCTTCCCCCAGTCCGTCTTCGATCACTGGAGCATCCTCCCCGGCGGTTCTCCTCTCGACCCCACCACCAAGCCCGGTCAGGTCGTCCAGGAAATGCGCAAGCGCAAGGGTCTCAAGGAGGTCGTTCCCGGTTACGAAAACGTAAGTCTTTTTACTCACTATCATTCTTGGTCTCAGTCACTAATCTCGTTCTATAGTACTACGACAAGCTGTAAAAATGTTCACGGTCACCCAGAATTTCCCTTCTGCCAGTCATTCGTGGAATCTTTCATGAGATTGATGAATTCAATACAATTTCTTCGGTTCAACAAAATTTTATTCCCTCATTCGTCGGTATTTGCTTCGATCGTTCCGTCTTTAGAAATCCGGGCATGAGCCTTGAAGCCTCTGGGCGTCATTGGTTCTGTTCTTTCACTGCTGTTTCTACATTTTGTTTTTACCGACCTTTTTTTGTTTTTCGCGTTTTTGCTGTAGTCTAGCAACCAGTTTCGATATGAAAATGAACTTGGGTATGCTAGGCACAGCTGTTCATTCGTAGAGGTTATGAGTAATTGTAAAGATCAGAAAACAACAAAACAAAACGATGAATACGATCGCAGCCCTCCGTAGTGTAGCTTGAGGAGTTGCACAGTATTGTCCTATGTCATTGAAGCACGTGACCTACCGGTACTCGCGTTTTTGCCCTCACCTTCGCGTCCCCAGCCATGTCCTTCCATTCCCTCACGGTTGGGGGTGAATGCTTATCAGCTTAAAATAGCTCATTCTCAAGCTTTGTTATTTGTAACATAAAGCTGTGGTTTCATCTCATACACGATTATCACTGTGCACGCAGGGATCTTCCCGAGTGACGGCTTTGTTGCAGAAACCGAATCCCTGCAATCGTCGTCGCTTTCACGTCAATCTCCCATCCGACCCAATTCAATCATCGCAGTTTGAAATTGCTGGAAAATTACTTTCGCCATGCAGTTTACTGACGCGGAAGCCGCTGACGTGAAGAAATGGGTGGTCAAAAAATTGGAGGACATGTAAGTTGATCAGGCACTTGACACGGCTTTGGGAAGGAAAGCAGCGACTAATCCTATTCTTTGCCTGTAGCTCTGATGCCGACTCTGATGTGCTCGCAGACTACGTTTTGGCGCTAGTTAGGTCTGATGCGCCAGCCGACGAAATCAAGAAGGTCTCGGTGGAAAACCTAGATGATTTCCTGCGCGAACGTGCGTCTGATGTCTCGATCATATTGAATTGTTTCATATGACTAACACTTACTAGACACACAACCATTCGTCAACGAGCTCTTTGCAACCTTCGGTCCCAAAGAACCTGCGCCTCCCCCCGCACCTGTACCCCAGCCTCTGCGCCAGCCCCAACCCGCTGCCCACATTCCCTCGTCACAACCTCCTGAGAATGCTCCCAGCGGCCCGAGGGCTGCTGTCGCTCCCGGAAGTGCCAACCGCAAACGAACTTTTAATGAGGGATTCCAAGGGGAGCCGGAACACGATGATGGTGGTTTCCAGAATCGCGCTATGAAGACTGCTCGACGCGGCGCGCGCGGAGGTGGTCGTGGTGACTTCATTGGTGGGCATCAGATGCAACAGGGCCAACAATTTCCCCCACAGCAGCAGGGTCAAATGTTCGCCCCGCAACAGCCCGGTGGCTTCCCCATGATGCCTGGTTTCCCGCCGTTCGACCCGAACGATCCCATGGCAGCAATGATGGCTATGCAGAGTATGGGATTCCCGCAGATGCCGGGAATGCCTATGCCCGGGATGCCCGGTCCTCCCGGTCAGCCAGGAGCCGATCAGATTCCACAAAGCAGCCAGCGATGTCCGTTCTATGATACCCAAGGAATCTGTTACCTAGGAAATACCTGTCCCTACCAACACGGCGAGGGAGGTGTCTCGAAAGACGATGGTAAGAGAAATCCATTCACCCTAGGTATACCATTGCTAACAGTCGCAGAATATGACCCCAAGACTGCGGGTATGAATGCGCAGCGGGGCGGTGCTCCCACACGCGGTGACCGTGGCCGCGGCCGTGGTCGTGGCGGATTCAGTGGGCGAGGACGCGGCCGGTCCGATTTCTCATCGGCAGGACCCAATGAGGACCAGTCTGTTACGACTATTGTTGTTGAGCAGATTCCTGACGACAAGTTCAACGAGGATTCTGTGCGCGAATTCTTCTCTGAGTTTGGTAACATTACCGATGTCTCTTTGCAACCCTACAAAAAGATCGCTCTGGTAAAATACGAGACTTTCCCCGAAGCCAAGGCCGCATGGTCCAGTCCCAAGGTCATCTTCGACAACCGTTTCGTGAAGGTTTACTGGTACAAACCGAATCGCGAGGAAAAGCCTGAAAGCGCACAGCCCGAGGCACCCGCCTTCAACCAAGAAGAGTTCGAGAAGCAACAACAAGAAGCACAGAGGGCGCACGAGGAGAAAATGAAAAAGCGACAGGAGACTGAAGCCGCCAAGCAGGCTCTAGAGCGCCAGCGCGATGAACTTCTCAAGAAGCAGCAGGAGGAGCGGGCCCGCCTCATGCAGCGACTCGGTGCCACAGCAGACACAAGCGATGCCGCCGGTACTGGGGATGCCATGGTCACCGAGCCTGCCGCCGATGAGAATATCAGTGATGAGACAAAACAGCTGCGAGCTCAACTCGCTGCCCTCGAGGCCGAGGCAAAGAGCCTTGGCCTAGACCCTGCGGCTGACCCTTCAGGACGGGGTGGATACCGTGGTCGTGGTGGCTTCCGTGGCCGAGGCACATACCGTGGACGCGGCGCTTATGACCCCAATTTCCGCGGAGGATACCGTGGGCGTGGTGGGTTTGCGGCTCGGGGACGAGGAGGTGTTCTGCGTCTGGATAACCGGCCTCGACGAGTCGCCGTATCGGGCGTCGAGCTCAACTCAGACAAGGACGAAGCATTGCGTCAGCACCTGATGGTAAGTCGTGTATATTTCCCACCAAGCACGGCGTGTACTAATTTGTTACGTTCTAGGGCGTTGGCGAATACGAATCCATTGAGGCACACCCAGACCAGCCCAACTCCGTCGTGGTGGCATTCAAAGAGCGCTTCCAGGCTGAGAAGCTCATGTTCTCCCCTGGAACATTCCCTCCGTGGGCGAGGTCCAGCTCACCTGGGTGGCCAACCCTCCCATTGTCCTTCCTACCGCTGGATCATCAACGGAATTCAAGGGTGGCCTTGGACAGGACGAACCAGAAGACACAGTCATGTCGTCCACGTCGGTGGGCAACACCGCTCCTGCGCGGGATATGGACTATGACGTTGCGGAGGATGACAGCTGGGGCGCGTAATTCCGGTAACTTTCGTCTACCATCTCATGTTGGTTGTATAGGCTGCATTAAGCTATTTTTACGGGATGGATGTTCTATTCCCGACCTGTTGTCTAAAACAAAAACCGGGCTACAATCGTAAGGGGTACAAAAAAAAGTAGATCCTCACATGCTCTGAGGAATCAACTCGACCGTATATCCATCCTATCAACTCACATCAGCACAACAGCACAACAGCACAACAGCACAACAACACGACGCTCTGCCTGTCTAGGAAGGTATAGAAACTCACCGGATCAGAAACCATAGCAAACTTCTCAAAAAACCAAGCATAATTCCCATGAATCTCCCCACATCCAATCCCCCTCTCCTCCTCCCACCCCGAAAGCGGCACCGTCTCCCTCGAGCAAACACCCACATCCTTAAGAATCCTAACCCCACCCTCCCTCAATCTCTGCACAGCAGCCGACACATCAGGGACCGTGAACCCCAGATGCGCAAATCCAAGATGCGGGGGTAGATTCCCCGTAGAAACACCACCATCACTGGCATTCTCCGTACCATGCACATGATACAACTCCAGCAGCCCGCTTGTCGTCGTCATAACAGGGATCTCACTCGTAGCCTTCGCCCAAGCGGTAATGTCTTCTTCGGTTGTTGCATCTACCGGCGGATGCCCGAGGTAATAGATCGTAAAGGGCCCGGCGTTCATGGTGAAGATTATGCGCATGCCTAGGAGGTTGATGTAGAAATGCAGTGAGCGGGATGGGTCTTGGATTCGGAGGGCTAGGTGGTTTAGTTTGTAGTCTTTTGTTGCTGGCGTTGGAGGTGGGTTTAGGCTTGGGGCTGCGTTGAAGTGACCTTCCTCTTGGGGGAGGTGGAATTGGGTTGAGGACATGGATACGTGTGTTGTAGATGGATCTATGAGCTTTTGTGGGAATTGAATGGATTGTATCAATTGAGATATAAAGGATATAAAGGATATAGATGGGGAAAATAATAGAATGAGGGGTTAATACTCCAACGCGGATCCCGTTTAGCCTATCAAAGGGAAACGCTGAGGATGTTGGAACATAGAGCATGGATTGATATCTTCGACAAGCGGGTACTGCAGATACTATTAATACTTCAATAGACATCTACTGATAAACAATCATATCCAAACCACCCTCGTACGGCATCGTCACGCGTCGGAACCCACTCCCCTCGGCATCAACATATGCAAAGAGCTCTTGGTACCTATCACCTGCCATGACCGTATTATCAACGATGATGACCGCACCAGGTCGGAAATGCGGCTGGACGAGCTTCAGCGCGGGGAGGGCGAGAGGGGTCCAGACTAGGTGTGGTGGTTAGCATAGATGTTGCCAGTATCACGAGCCATCGATCAAATATGCCAGTTGAATACAAGATAGCAGATAACCAGGAGATCAAACAGACATGTACAGAGTACATGTCTATTATCAACCCCAAGGAAATAAACACAACTTACTATCCAACAACAAAAAATCCACAGTCCCCAAATCCTCAGTAAGAGTCTCCCGTAAATCCCCAACACGAAGCTCAATAACATCCTCAACCTCCCTACCAGCTTTTGCCCAATGCGCTCTCGCCAGTTCGGCTTTAGACTCCTCCTTCTCCGTGGCGATAACCCGCGGCTTAGCTGTAGCGCTAACGCGCTTCGCATTCTCGGCAACAGCAAGCGCTAGATAGATAGTGCTAACGCCGAAGCTGGTACCGGCCTCGACGACTGTTTTTGCGTCGATGCTGCGTAGGATATGGTAGACTAGTTCGCATTTGTCTTGGTCGAGGGCGATGAACTTGTCCAGCATTATGGAGTCGAATTCAGGGGTGCATTGTTGCGGGATGGTGTGCCAGTCCACGGCTGATTCTTGGTTTAGGGATTTGGCGTGGAGGTCTTTTAGAAGGGTTAGGGTTTCTGGAGAGGTTGTGAGGGGTGAGGGGGACATTTTGGATTGCTTTGGCTGTGATTTGGGATTTGGGGTTGTGAAGGTGGAAGTATGTATTAGCTACTAGGAGGAGGAGGAGAACAAGAAAAAGAAGGAGGAGGAGAAGGGCGTAGTTGAATGGACTACCGTGGTCTGATCTTAGCTCGGAGGGCCGGAGAAAATAGGCAATAGGCATTTGGCATCAGGATTGGAGAATCGGAGAAGAGTACATAGGCATATGGGGTCATGTTAGAAAGTCCTCAAACCCCGATGTCCAAGGCCAAAGTGATATTCGGTGAGTCATCGGGGAGTCTTGTACAAAGTCCGTACGATGTATACACACGCCCTGTGGGGGAAGTTGGAGTCAGACGAAGAAGAAGTGCCGAGTCTAACCGACATGAGCAATATGATTCTAGAGCAACGCTTGTCTGGTAGCTACGATACGACCATGATGGCCGTTCAATTGACCCTAAACTTGCCCTAATTGGCCCTAAATTGGCCCTAACATTGCGCCACAACAATTCGTGCAAGCCCAACAAACTCCATTCTACTGCTCCAGCAAATCCGCATAACTATCCAAAGACTTCCCAATTAAAGCAACCATCTCCCAAATATAATCCGCCGTAAATAGCCTGGCCCACAACCTAGTAACCGCAGCACTGAGCCGAGTACTAGTAGCAAGCAACCACTCCCTCGAAACACCATGTTGCACCTCCATAACCATCTCCAGCACGAAATCCCGCAATCGAGTCTCCTGCTCCGTCAATCTCGGCTCCGGATCCGACACCGTAATCGCCTCAAGCCATTTCGCCAACAGCACCGCGCACTCCAGGGAGCACAAAGCATGCTGATTCGACCACAGCGCCACCTGCGAGTGCGCGACGAATCCGATACCGAGCTTGACCGGTGTGCTGAGGGCATGTGCGCAGTGCAGCGCTGCGCGCGTGAGACGGTCGCCGCGTCGGACGGAGAGGTTGTCGCGGAGACTCGTTGCGATTTGGACTGGGTCCCAGGTTTGCAGTTGGCGGGCTGAGCCGCAGTCTGCATTGAGTCGGATGTAGGCTAGTCGGAGTAGGGATGCTGATGTGAAGGATATAGGGCCGTTCGGGCTGAGTGGGTCGACGGAGGATTCTTGGTTGCGTTCCCAGCACTGGCACCAGCGTTCGAGTGCTTGTTCGACATGGACGAGCTCCGGTGTGGAGGTCATTGATGAGGAGGTGAAGCGGTTTCGTCGGGACACGGGTAGTCGGCCCGCTTTCGTCATTAGCCAGATGTCTTGTAGGATTGCGTGGATTAGAACGTAGCCTCCGAGGGAGGAGAACCGCTCTGCATTGCTGGTTGGTCCAAATAGGGCGGAAAGGGCATCTTGGAATTTTGGTTCGCCGGGACTTTTCAGGCGCTCTGTCTGCCAGAGGTCTGCGTGCGTGGCCTGCCATTCTTTTTCGGTGCTGGGTAATTCGATTGTGAAGTCTTCCGTGAGAATCATTGGTGGGACGTCGAAGACGATGGTTTGGATGTTGAAGAAACAGAGAACAATGAGTTTGGTGCGTTTTACGCTTTCCCGGCGGATCCAGCCACTCCATGTCCCGTCCGGATCGGGTAGCCGGTTAAGTCCTCCATTTCGCATGAGCATTTCCATTAGACTACGAAGAGATAGCCCCTCGTGGTATGGAGGGTTGTTGATAAACCATAGCGACACCGACGTCAGATACAATAAAGATTGCAGAGTTTCTAGGGTATCAATGTCGTCGGCCACATTGATTGGGGACAGCTTGCCTGACTGGAAAACCCGGCGAATATGTTCCAAAGTGACTGGTTTGGCGATCTGATAGAGACGCATGCTAGTGTCTGGCTCGCGGCAATACCGTGCACCCAAGGCCGCCATTGATAAGAAGAGCGGTAATGTCATCGACTCGACATCGAGAGTCGGGAGATGGACAATTGGGTAGTGCTCATGGAAACCAGTTACATACCCGGTCAAACATCGGGATAGCGCATGTCGAGACGGCAGCGATGGATCTGGGACCACATTGGCGTAGTCGGATAACATACCCAAAAACTTCTCTCGACATTGAGCCGTGACTGGTACGAATCCGGTAGGCTGGCGCGCCTTGGGGGAGATGTGATACCCCTCTGGCTGGAGTGAGGGCAACTGAGCGCCATGCCGGGGAAGTACAGAACTTGAAGGGGTGGAAGGAGTAGTCTCAGTTAGAGTCCCTCTATCAGAAGATTGATCATAGTCCGGAACGGGGGAGAATTGCAAGGGTGGGAATAGCGGGAGTGGTTGATAAGCCGGCGAGAATGGATGATTTGGCAAGGGGATGCTATCCAAGAATGAGGTGAAGTCGTGACCATGATATGACCCCGGCCCGTAGCCACCTAGAGCATATCCGAAATCCGGGGCTGGAGATGGAGTGGTGGGTCCTGCAGACGGACCGTCTGTGTTAGCCAACTGACCCAGCATTGGACGGTGTACGCCCGATAATTCTGGGTAATGGTCATCGGGCCTTTGTAAAGTGCGATTAGATTGGGCATGGTTTGGGACTACAGATGCCAAGGAGTCTAACCCTTCCAGAGTGGGAGGGTTAGCGGGGGAAGGTGTGTGTGTCTGGTTGCTGGTTGGACTGGCGTCGGGGTTGTGAGAGAGACGCTCATGACGGGCCAGCAGATCCCTGGAAGCGTAAGTATCTTTTTTTTAAAAAAAGGTATCTGAAAGGTTATGTATCTTACTTGCGTGTAAAGGCCTTGGGACATTGATCACAAGCAAACGGTTTCTCTTTGGTATCTGTGGGGTATTAGACAGGATATGGGGGGGGGGGGTATTTGATAGGTCTTGAAGACATACGTGAACGATCATGTCTTTGGAGATGCTCTAGACGAGCAAATGCCCTCTGGCATCGGTGACACTGATAGGGCTTACTATTCAACATTGGGGGATGGGCATGGTGAGTTGTGGTCTCGGGGGATTGTAGCGGAACTCCGGCGAGTCTGACGGCATCTTCCCTGTTCCCCGTTCACATGTACCACACCAAAGTCGAATTGGTTGTATCACGATCTTGTAATCTTGTAGCCTCGTAGCCTTGCATAGTTATGCTATTATTAGTTCATCCTGCCGATTTCCGAGGTCTGGTCTGTATTGATTGTTAATCGGTTCGGTCGAATCGGTCGCGATTCCGCGATTCCGCAATCCCCCCAATTTCCTCCAATTTTTCTCCAATTTGGAGAATTTAACCATCAATTTGATGTCTGTTTGCGGAGAAGTATAAGTTATACCCTACTGTGAATTGTATATGTCACGCTACAAGCTTATTTGATTGTATTTTTCTATATTTTAAGATCTTTTAAGATCTTTTAAGATCGGTATTCGAGTCTATGTCTTATAGGAAAACCTTTCACACACGTAAGCCAAGCTAGGACCCGGTGGACATATTTGAGTCAACCCTGACGCCAAGACCTCCGGCCCGGCATCAAAGCTCCACGCCAACTTGGTACTTGGGAGGATTTGGGAGGATTTCAAGATTAATGTGCATGGGAACTCACCAGTCCTGGCATTGACTGCATGATTATATACCAAAAGACTCCACATTCATCCATAAATATGATTGGAGTGATATATCAAATTTGGGGAATTCCAATGATGACTCGGCCTTGGATCCATTTCTCCAATTTCCTTCGGTTGGACTCCACGCCCTAGATGCTTAGCCTATAAACTAGTTATTTTTAAAAGTCCGTCAAAACCCCAGAAAACTCTTGCCAAACATCATCGTGACTCACTACATGGCATCTACTACGCCAGGTGCACTTAAACCCCAACTAACAGCTATGGAAAAGCGTGACGAGACCGAGTCTCTCCGCGGATCCCAAGATATCGAATACCGCTATTTAGAGCTGGAAACGCCCTTACCCACCCCGTGTATTACTTTACCACCCGGCCCTGCTCAGTCACCACCACCAGAAGCGCCGAGTTTAGAGAAATACGCATCTCCGTTTCTCTGGCCGCAATGGCGCAAGTCCATGATGACTTATATCGCTTGCGGGGTTACTGCGCTAGCAGGTTATGCTGCGGGCGAGGTCAGCCCTGCATCGGAGGAATTGACTAAACGGTGGGGGATCAGTGCTGTCGTGTATAATCTGAGCATCACGCTTTTCTGTTGTGGGTTTGCCCTGGCGCCGATGGTGCTGGCTCCGTTTTCCGAGATTAATGGACGGAGGCCGATCTTTATTGCCAGTGGGATTCTGTTCGTTGGTATGCATACCGTGTTTTCACTGGGTTACTTTACTCATGCTGACTTATGTCGATAGCCAGTTTAATTGGCTGTGGAGGCACGCAGTCCTTTGCTGGATTGCTTGTGGCTCGTTTCTTCCAGGGTGTAGGTGGATGTATGTATAGCCTGTCCCAAGACTCGATTTTCCCATTCAACTCTCAATAGGTATTAACTTCACCCTCACAGCAACGTTCTCCACCATGGTTGGCGGCGTGATCAGTGACATCTACCATGCCGAAGATCGCAACACGCCCATGGCGCTCTTCTCAGGATCAGCATTGTTCGGTACTGGCCTGGCACCAATGATCTCTGGCGCAATCATCACACGCACCACATGGCGCTGGGTATTCTACTCGCACGCAATCGTGTCCGCCGCGTTTGTCATTATCATCTACTTCTTTTTCAAAGAAACACGCGGCAGCGTCCTGCTAAGTCGCAAAGCTGCAAAGTTGAACGAGTACTACGAGCAACTCGAAGAAGCCGGTCATCATGGTGTAATTCTATCGAGCGAAGAAGCATCTGAAGAAAAATGCATTCGTCGAATCAGATGGAAGGTCAAGAGCGACGAGCAACGAGCATCGATCGTAACCATGATCCAGATCTCGCTATATCGGCCATTCCGTAAGTCTACTTCAACCCTCATCTATCCTATCCTCAAAGAAAAAAAAAAAGCCTAACATCCCAACCCAGACATGCTCCTCACCGAACCAGTCGTCTTCTTCTTCTCCCTATGGGTCTCCTTCAGCTGGGCTGTCCTCTACCTCCAATTCAGCTCCGTCCCACTAATCTTCCGCACAAATCACAACTTCACAATCGAGCAAACAGGCGCCGTCTTCACCTCCATGTGCGTCGGTGTCATCATCATCACAGTCATCAGTATCTACCAAGAACGTATCGCCATGCGCTTCGGTAAGCACACCACTTCTCCAGAGGGCAGACTGTATTTCGTCTGCATTGAGTCTGTGCTTCTGCCCATTGGTTTGTTCTGGTTCGGTTGGAGTTCTTTCCCGTCTGTGCACTGGATTGTGCCTGCCATGGCCGTTGGTTGTGCTACTATGGGCATCTTTTCGATTTACCTTGCTACGTTTAATTACCTCGCGGATACTTATCATCGATATGCGAGTTCCGCCATTGCGGCGCAGTCTTGTTGTAAGTTATTTAATTTGATTTGATCTTTTTTCTTGGGACGCTGTCTTGATACGATGTGTTGTGATTTACTGACATGCTCACTAGGCCGGAATTTGCTCGGTGGTATCTTTCCACTAGTCACCAATGCCATGTTCACCAACCTTGGGTATCCAGAGGCATCAAGTCTGCTGGGAGGACTTGTAAGTTGTGGCGATTACCCTCCAAAGGAAATAGACTGACTGGATCGAAATAGGGTGCTGCTTTGACTCTGGTCCCCTGGGTGCTGGCCTTATACGGACCCAAGATTCGGGCCAGGAGCAAGCTCGCAAGTGTAAGTGAATGTCCCTCAACGTACATTGCTCGATACTAATGGAATAATAGGAGCTCGCACATTAAATGATACACAGCGGGATACAACACGACAAAAAGTAATTTAATGATGGTATTTTTCGGATAGAGGATTCATATAGAGACAACGGCATTCATATTATCAACGATTTTTCGGGCCCAAATAGATATCCAGCCTGAATTTTCATCGCAGCAAATGAATTCAAGTCATACCTACCGTACGCTTCCTATGATCTGAACTTGGCTATGCCAGCAAGTTAAAAATCCCCAATGCTAGAGCGATGTACATGCCATGTGTTTCATGCAAAATCCCGAAATCTTAAATCAAAAACACAATGCAATTACCTCGGGCGTTGATGTCCTCTAAATGGATGTGCACCATTAATCCTAGGACGATACGATGCATATCGACCCTCATCCTCGCTATCACTGTCCATTTGATCCAAAAGACGATCAATATCATCCCCAGCATGAGCTTCCAGTCCTGGTTTTCTTCTGGGTTCACGACCATTGTGAGACCCGGAGCTTTGGGACCCCTGGCTTCCATCGTGGTGCGCTCCATTGCTGGAAGAGTTGATCGACTCGTTCAGGCTGCTTTGCGTACTCGCTGGTTGCAGCGGGCGAGGACTGAAACGATACCCCGAGTTCTCGGGGCTGGACATGAACATCAGAGTTTCGATGGCGTCTTGTTCCATAAGTGTGTTTTGGGAGTGAGTACGGTGTCTGTAGAAGCCGTTCGGGGTGGATGTTGGTGCTTGTGCGTGAGATGATGAGAGCGAGGGTGTCCCGGGTCCTAGGACTGCTTGACCGTTGAGTGGTTGGGTGAGGCCGTTCTCTTGGTGTGAATGATGGCGTCGGTGGCGGGAGATAGGGCTGTGGTTTGAAGGTTTGGAGACTGCGTTAGGATTCGGTCGACGGCGCTGGTTATGACCATTTGATGAGATGATATCCACAGGTGGTGCTAGCTTTGGAATTGGAAGGAATTGATTAGGTGAGAATGCTGACCGCGAGCGGTTATGGCTCAAGAAATGATGAGAGTTTCCGTTGGATGATGTTTGGGAATCTTTTGAAAAAGGCAAGGAGTTTCCTGTCGGCAATGATGCAATGTCACTTGATGCCGACGCGCTCAATGGCGACGCGCTGTTGTGTGTTCGCAATGCGGTCTGAGGGGTTGCTTCACGCGACTGTCGGGCCTGTTCTACTTTGGCGGCTGCGTATGATAGACGTGTACGGATATGGACCGACAACTGGGTAATACAAATGAGCTATGGATTCTTGAGGGGGCGAGCAGTGGGCACGTTACCTGTGCAATCCTACTCCCATAAGCTGACGAGCCCGTACTCTTCGAACGTCGTCGTGCAGCTCCATTCACGTCGGCAACGTGAGCTGTGGGGATATCTAAAGTGGGTTTGAAGTCGCCAGCTGCTGTCCGTTTCTGGCTTGGAGCCAAGCGAGCATCAAAATTCGAGCTTGTGCGTAAATGCTTTGGTGATGGCGGCGGTGATATTGAAGCATTGCCGGCTTTTATCGGCGCCAATGAGGGTTGCCATCGATCTATTGAGCCGCCTCCATTCACCGGCTGCACGTACGGGGTGAGTTGGGATTCCAATAATTCCCGATCCACCCACGGTTTCGATGTATGTCCATTCAATGTATGAGAGTTACCGAACTCTGTCGGCTGGCTATTATTACCATTGGTCGAGGACAGAGGAAGGCTGGAAAGAGAGTCCGTGGCGGTGCTTGCAGAAAGGTCCAGTCGTCGGCCATCGCCCGATGTATCGCTGCCGCGCTCCGATGATTCGATATAGGCTGAGTTCGGGTTACCCTCGCCGTGAGCGAGGGTAACGGCGTTCAAGCCATCTATTTGTAGTGATAATGGTTGCGACAATTGTGGGGTTTGGGTCTTGACCGCAGGCATTGGGTTGTGAGGCACGGGAGACGTCGCGTTATTCATAGAGTGGGTGTTCGCACTGGCCTCTGCATGGAGCACCCCGCGATTAGACACATCGCGATCGTCATTCATGGTCAAGGATGGGGTGTGGAAGATTAACAGATGCTGGGATAGCGACAATTGGCAAATACGCGCGACCTAGCTTAAATCGCGAGTTTACGAGGCCGCACAATCTCAACACGCACGTCCTGTTTCGAGTCACCGCATTGAGAGTTGGGACCGGGAAGGTCCGATATCAAATGATTTATGATGCAACTAACAGTTGAGATCTCAACAAGACGCGTGGGAGCACTGGTGGGAACCAGGAGCATCTGCCCGATCGAGTGGCGATCGACCAGCACGCGCGCAAGGGTTGTGACAGCACGAGGCGGCAAATGAGTTTCTCCACCGTGATTTTAAACGCGGGTGAAGCGCCCGACAGGGGTTGGAATAAAAGAATCCGAGTAGTAAGAACTAATTTTGAACATAGATGAGCCACAATATGCTAGCACCAAAAGAAATCCCGTGGAGTAGTTGGCAGAGAGTTAAGGGTGACCGGTCTTGGAACACGCGTGGGAGGCGCGGTCACGTGGATAGTACTAAACCAATCTCATCGAATCCAATGAGCTTCTGTAGAAAGGGAGTATTATTAAATCATCAGTATATGGTCATTTAGAGATGAAGGTCGAAGATGGTCGAAGGTAGTCGAAGGTGGTTGTGAGTGGGCTTCTGTTCGATGGGCTTGGCTATACTTCGAAGTATACAAGTATACCAACTAGCTAACTAGCTACCACAACATCTACGAGACTACAATATACAATAGACATTAATTACAAATTAAACTTGAATTTCTCATTAATGATATAGTATACAAACTCATGAAATCATGGGAAATATACGCCGAAACAATGGCTCAACTCCGATAACGAAACAACTCAGCGGAAAGTAAGAATAAGCTGAGAGAAAGCAAAGATGGACCAAAGTCCAAAAGACAAGAAAACAAAAGAAACATCCTCCGTAGTCCGTATCCAATTCAGGCATCAGCCTGGCGGGCCTTTCATACCTCTACCATCACTGAGCCACACACCCACACACCCACACAACCCCTCTAGACGATGACCGCCGTTGACATCTTCAGGTAATCCGGAGTCAGATCACTTGTGATCTGGTCGACCTCCGGAGCCTTAGAAACAGGGCGATCAGCCACGTGAGCAGGCTTCGGCACCTCTAGAAGGGAAAGTTAGTATCAAAGACAACGTTGGAAGGACATTGTTGAGGGGATCAATTTACTTGGTTCTTTAGGGCCATGCCAGATCTTCATCTTCACCTTCCAGCCCTCGTACTTCTCCTTGCAGTCCCGAAGTTTAGGCTTAAGCTTGGGCTTCCATTCTTCCTTATACTTGGGCTTCATCTTCTGGTAGCTGATAGAGCTATTAGTATTTTCTTTTTCTTTTTCTTTTTCGGATTTGGATGATCGGATGGTGGACTTCTGTACTTACATTGTGCAGCCCAAGAAGATGGCGAAGGCGGCTATGATGAGTCCAAATAGTAGTTTGGCGAGGACGATTTCTTTCCCCTGGTTAACTTCGTATTTCTTGTCGGCCCGAGGAGAGAGCGTGTTGACGTTGACAAGGCTTAGGAGGGGAGCCATGTATATCTAATAGTTGTTTGATGTTTGGGAAAGATGTTTATTGATGAATGAAGATGAAGCTTTGATGAAGCTTTGATGAAGCTTAATGGAAAATAGATGTAGTTGGAGAGTGGAAGATCAAGGACGGTGGGAATTCGCGAGGATAATATAGAATAGGATTACAGTGCTACTAAACTTGTTATGGAATTCATGATACATGAAGCTTTGCGGGTTAGGGCTTTACCTGTTGTGGTGCCGGGGCTATGGAAAGATGGTTAGGTCCTCACCTACTATGCCACATCCGGGAATATGAACAGTCAAATCCTAGGTTCGTTTAGAACTTTCCTGCTTTAGAAACTAGCAGGTGCCTTTTGAGGTGCTCCATTCTACTTCTGGCATCGGAGACCAACCGACGGCGAAAAACAGCCTCGTCATTGGTATAGGAAGAAAGTACAGTAGAGACGGCATGGGGGAGGCAACGAGAAGAAAGCATAGGCAAACAGTAGTGCATTCATGAAATAGTTTTGATATAAATAAACATCCAACACAATGTAGGTACAAGTTTTGGGTCCAAACGCCATCTATGCAAAAGACCCAAGTAGATTAAGACATGTCCAAGAACAAAGAATAGATCACTTGCGCTTCTTGCCGCGCCCACGGCCACCAGAGTCTTCATCTGGGTTCTTACGCTTCTTGCCCTCCTTGCGCCAGTAATCATTGCGCTCCCTCTTCTCGCGCTCGGCCTTCTTCTCCAGACCATCAGCCACCTTAGCGCGGTAGACCTTGCGGCGCTCCTCCTGCTTGACGGATCGCTTGGCTTGCTTCTCGTTGCGCATGGTAGTGAGCTTCTGCATGAGATCACGGGCCTTCTTTTCCTCGCCTCCGAGGACAACGGCACGCTTCTGCATGTAGGTCTGATCCTTGTGGCCCCTCATCTTGGTGATCTGCGACTTGAAGGGGAGCTCGGCGGCCAGCTGTCTTGGCACACGGAGCGGATTGAAGTGGCGGGCTTGTCTTTCGATGGGCTTGTAAGCCGAGTCTTTGTTTTGGGGAGTGGCGATACCCTGAGCATGACGGACCTCACCGGTCAAGCGCATGCCTTGCCATCCGTGATCACCCGTTTCGCCATCGACCTGGTCCAACAGGTTGGTCACAGGGTTGTAGTAGCGGTGGGGCTTGATGGGGTACCAAGCACGCAGGAAGGCAATATCACTCATCAAGATCTTGTCCTCGAATGTAGCACGGAAACAGCCATCGGGCTTGGATAGCGCACGCTTGATCTGACCGCGAATACCAGAGACAGTCTTGATGGATGCACCTTCGAACTTGGCAATTTCCAGCGCAGAGGTGAACATGTCCTTGATGAAGGCGGTGTTCTTGAAGATCTTGTAAGGGTGACCAGTGAGCTTGAGCTTCTTGACAATTTCCGTGTGTTCATCCACGCTCTGAACAACACCAGTGGCCGCAATGCGGAAACCGGGGTTCTTG